AGCGCCTAATTCTTGACTTTTAAGCAGCATAAAGCTTCTAGAAAATTTGAATATAATTAATTTTTTATTTAAAAATTTATACATAATATTATTTTTATTTTTATTTTTTTTGAATTTTTTTGTTATGAAACCCGTCAGAAGAAAAGGATAAGCACTTTTTCAATAGTACTAACTATTAGGTCATAAGGATTAAGTGCATTTATTTATTTATTTGATGTTATATTTAAACAATAAACTTATAGTTTCTATAAATAATATTGTCATTATCGTATCATCATCGCTTTTCCGAAGGAAATGAATGTTGGATTAATTATCAATAGTATCGTCCTTGAACGCATAGTTGTTTATTTTCAAGTTTTGCATTTGTGTAGGTTGGGATTATGGAGTAGTCATTTTAGAATTTTTCCAATTAAATTAAAGAAAAGTAAAATGAAGAAAAATTCTCAGTTGTCAACTTGCACTAGCAACTCCAGCAAATTAACTCTGGGGAATAGAGTATATTAGTTTGAGTTTTTCAGTCAGAATTCATTCCTCTATTTTTTTAAAAAAATTAATTCACATATTTTTATACTGAATAAATTAAATTATATAATTTTTAATTAAAATAAATTAGTTTAAATTTAATAGATGATATCATACCATGCTATATTTTTGTGAAATTCATTTCAGATTTGTTATATCATGAAATAAATTAATTTACATGCTTTTTGAGCTACTTAAAATTTACTTCTATACTTTAAAAAAAATATAACTAATGTATTTTTTGATTGAAATAAATTAATTTAAATTTATGGGTTAATTTTATTCTAACAAAAGTATTAATCAGTTCAAATAATATAATGATAAAAATTAAGAATTGTTCTACATAGAATGTAAACTAATTAATTATCAAAATTAACTAATTCTAATTTTATTTAAACAATCGTAATTAAATAATTTAAATAAACTATATAACTAAATTAATTAATATAAAATTTAAATTAATATATTTTTAAAATATTTATTACTCATGTAATAGTTAAATTTGTTATTTTATTTAATATACTTTCTCAAGTTATATCAAATATATTTTCACCTATTAACTTATCATATCTCTATATAAATTTAAATAGATAAAAATGCACTATATTCTAAATTAAATACTTTTTTTGGTCCCTCTATTATTAAAAAAAAAAAGCCCCTTTTTGGTCTCTATACTGAAAAAAATCTTTTTTTTGGTCCTTAAAGTTTAAAACCTTACCTCTTTTTGATCTTTCCGTTAATTTTTACTCATATGACACGCTATCTTAACAGGAACATTGACATGGATATTTCATTGTGTAAAGGTGCTTACGTGGACTTAATAACACCCTTTCATATCACTCTCCCCACGTGAAAAAAAAAACGCTAAATTCTCCATTTTTTTTTTTAATTCCCTCTCTAAAAATCATCTTCCTTCTTTCGAAATTCTTCATTCATAATCAACCCTTTACATATAAGATTGGTTAAGATATAATTAAGAATCCATAGGAATATTTTCATTGATAAACCCTAATTTCTCCTCTATAAAACAGATCCTTCTCTTTAGTCTTTTCCTAATTTCATATTCTCAACCCTTTTTTCCTCTTGAATCTATGTCATGAATGAACCAAGTTATGAAGTTCATAGCAATATGAACACAGTAACAAAAATCTGTCACCTACAATTTCAAACCCAAATATCAAACACGATTTGAGTTTTGTAATCAACCCAAAACTTGAGTTTCGTGAGGAACCCAGGATGATGAAGAGAATGGCGAAGAGAATGGCGAAGACGATGGCAAAGAGGATGGTGAAGATAAACGGTTACATACTGATGCCGAGGATGAGGGTGAAGATGAGGATAAGGATGAGGAGAAAGAAAAAGACGAAGAAGTTAAAGTTAATTATGTTTTTTTTGAACTTAGGGAATTTTTGGGGATAGGGGGTAGTGCCTAGATATTGAACCCAAGATTTCACGTCTTAACACTTTCCATCAAAGGAGCAACCACTAAGCTGCCTAGTGCTAGAAAAAGTTAATTATGTTTAAATTCATTTAATTCATAAATTAATAAATAAAATTTTTAATTTGTACACGTGATCTAAAATATTTAAATGAAACGCTTACATAGATTTATAATTTTATCCATGTAATTTTCACATCATTTATGATATCATTTATATAAAAAATAATTAAGTAATTCCGTTAATTAATGTGACAGGTCAAAAAAAATTTAACAGAGGGATCAAAAAGAGATTCGATTTTAAACTTTAAGGATAAAAAAAAAGATTTTTTTAATACAGGGACCAAAAAAGGACTTCTTTCAATAGTAAAGGGACCAAAAAAGATATTTAACCCTGAAAAATATAAACAGCAATTTCCACTTACCAAAATTTTTTTTTTATTAACATTTATTTTAAAGACCTACTAAACACTAAAAAAATGTGGAAAATAATTTCTAGAAGTTTTCCAAAAAACCAAACGAACCCTTAATAAAACAATTTTTATGTCATTTGCAGAAGTTACTTTTGTTTTTCCCTTTAGCACCAGCACTAAACTAGGAAAATGATGTTCTCAGCGGTTTAGATGGGGGCTATAGTCGGGTGTTTATCTGTTTCCTTGCAGGAGTAACTGCATAAAAATTTAATGGTAAATTATACACTACCATATCAGATTATTAATTCTATGAAAATAAAATGAAAATGAGAATTTAAACTTGATAAGTACAAAAGCATCAAAGTTGCTAAATTAAAGGTTTGAACAATTCAGGATTTAATCTTATTTTAATTGTACGCAACTTGGTCTTCATTCCTTACAAACTGGATAATAAAATTAATTAAACATACATAAAACCATAAGACACACAACCAAACCATAATTTATTACACAAATAGAGGAGATAAAACAGGTTGTTCTGAAAACAGGGGTAGCTGAAAAGGAGGCGCTGGAATTTCAGCTCTCAAGAGAAGCCCTTGAAGTCCATGAAGAGGCATCTCGAACCTAAAAACAACAATTAAAGGTGCTCTCCTCTGTTATTTTCCAATTAAGTAATACTCATAATTGAACAAGACAAAATAAAGTCGTAAACAAACCTAAGACATACCTTCCAAGGGATCAATCCTAAAACTTCAACTTTCTTCGCAGTCTAGCGGCATTCACTGTTATCACCAAACAAAGTGCTGACACAACCAAACAGAGGTAGCCTTCCAAGTTGCTGAGATAGACCTTCATGTGGTTTGACAGCAAGAAACAAACACGTTTCCAGGGATGATCTATCTTGAAAGCCAGAACTCCCATAAAGCCAAAAGCCATTCCAAGTTTCATACTGGGTTTAAACCCTTTCCAGAATTCATCTTTGTCTTTTTGATTGTATTCGAGACCATCATCTATCAATTTTTCATCACCTGGGCATGATGGTGTTAGGGGTGGTCCACAAAGTGTAGGATTATTACCAACAAATGCAGAAGCATTAAAGGTGTCCATTTGAGTGCTGGTTGGAATTTTCCCTGAAAAGTTGTTATATGATAGGTCCAGTTTACTGAGAGAATATAACTGGGACATGCTTGGAGGAAGCTGGCCTGAAAGCTTGTTGTGTGAAAGATCAAGTGATTCCAATTGTCTCATCTGCCCAATATCTGGTGGAATCCTTCCAGTCAAATAGTTTCTTGATAAATTCAATTGATGCATTTCAGAAAGACTCGCCATTTGGATCGGAATTTCTCCTGTTAATTTGTTACTTGAAAGATCAATGGTCCTCTGAAGTGTGAGATTTTCACAAGGATATTCTATTCCTTTCCATATAATATATGCTTTGTCAGCATACCATAGAACGCCACTAATAGCCAATCTTATATAGACAATAAAAGTAAATGCAATTTCCAAGACATGATCTTGGGCTACAATGTCTTTTTTGACCAAGGCAGTCAGATTACCAATGCACCATGGTATGTGTCCGGAGAGATTGTTGTTAGAGAGGTCCAGCAGCAAAATATTTGTCAACTGACATATCTCTAAAGGGATTTCTCCAATAAAATGATTGGATTTTAGGAGGAGGAAATTTAGTGAATTTGACCTTTCTCCAATCCAACTTGGTATTATTCCGGACAATCTATTATTACTCAAACCCAGAAATTGCAATTTATTGCAATTCCTTAAAGAGCTAGGAATTTTCCCAATGAAGCTGTTGTCTTGCAAATCAAATGTTTCAATCAAAGAAAAAGATCCCACAAAGCTCGGAATTTTCCCAAAGAAATTATTGTTAGCCAAATTCAGAATTTTTAGACTTGACCAACCCTTCATACAATCAGGAAGCTCTCCAAATAGTTGATTGCTCGAAAGATCGAGGAATTCAAGGGACATGGCAGTCATAGTACAGAGGGAAGAAATTGACCCATTAAACCTATTTTTTGAGAGGTTTATGTGCATGGTATTAGTAGGAAATGATGGTAATGTACCCTCCAAATGATTTCCACTTAAATCTATCCCAAGGAAAGAAGAATCAGATGAAAAATTCCCTGACAAATTTGGAAGAATTCCACTGATCTGGTTGGAAGAAAGATTTATAACTCGTGCCATAGAAGGCAGCTTACTGAACCAGATGGGGATGCTATTTGAAATTCCAGTTGCAGCAATATTAAGATACCAATAGTTCCTTTGGGTTTGTAACCAGCTTGGAAACTCAGGGCCCAATTTGCAAGACTCAAGATTTATATATTTCAACTGGAATGGAGGAATCCAATCACGGCTGAAGTTGACCCTCAAATGTTTAGAAGACATGCTCAAGTACTGTAAATTAGATAGTGTTGAGAAGTGTTCCTCAGTGATCACCCCATTAAAAGAATTGAAGGAAATATATAAGGCCTCAAGCTTTGACAGCAATCTAATACTTTTGGGAATGGTACCACTTAATTTATTTTTTGAGAGAGACAAGTATCGCAATGATGACAAGTTACCACTCCAAAAGGATTTTGGTATCTCTCATTCAAATTGGTTGTACGAGAGAAGTAGCTCTTCTAGGCGAGTCATGTGACTAAAAGTTTCTGGAATTGGACCTTGAAATTGATTAGAAAACAAGAGGAGACTAACAAGGCTGTTGCTAAAGTTGAACAACCATTGGAATGCAGAAGCAGTCAAACTGTTGAACGCTAGACCAAAGTGAATGAGAGAAGTACTAGAAGTATTAATTATGGGGATATACTGGGGAATGACATCTCGAAGATTACAGTCATGTAGAGATAGGTTAGTTAGATGAGGGAGCTTATTAATTATTTGCAGCCAGACATTGTTGACCTTACTAAGGTTGTTTCCGCTCAAATCAAGGTACTGCAAGTAAGAAAGATCAGAGAGCCACAAAAGATTTTGGATGTTGAATTTGTTATAGCTAAGATCAAGATACCGTAGACTTGTGAGGTTTGCAAACTGACTAGGAAGAGATCCACTTAAATTACAATCATAGAGATCAAGATGTTGTATTTTGTTAAGTGAACCGATAGATTTTGCAATGTGGTTTAAGTTGAAATTATTCCCACTAAGGTCTAAATAAATTAAATGCTGCAACTCAAATAGAGAAGGACTAAGGTTACCTCTTAAGATAAAATAGGTGGTGAGATTAAGCATAATAATGTGCCCAGTTGTGTTGCTACATTGAACTCCTTCCCATTCACAGCAATTCTTTTTCTCTTCTTCACTGCCCCATGAGGAAAGCCATCCATGTTCATCAACCAGACCTTGCTTAAATGAGAGAAGAGCTTGTCTTTCACTCTCTATACACTTAACTCCATCATCAGCTGTTGTTGAATTGGATCCAATTGAAGTTTGCATATGTAGTAAAATCAAGAGTGCATAGACAAGATTAAGGAACCCTGCACCCAGAATCTTCATTTTGAAAGTGATGAAAATAAAATCAAAGATGAAGGAGAACCCAAATGAAAAAGTGTATTAGGGAAATATCGTAGACATGTAACTAAGGTTTTTTTTGGTAATGCTTGATGGGTTCTCAAAAGCATTCTAGCTACTTATATAGAACTTCAGCAACACATATTAAAGGTTGTTGAAGGGCACATCAAAGAATATTAATTTACACTCGGTAGAAGGAGAAGATTCAAGGAAGATACTAGTATAGGCAATATGATTTGTCTTAAATGATTTTGTTGAACTCTTGGGTAAATTATTTGGATTTTGATTTAATGCACCCTACAATTTAGATTTAATTATTTTAATTATGATTCCACAGACCTACAATTTCAAGTTTTTTTTCTTCTTTTTTCTTTTATATGTTTAGCATAAACAAAAATTTAAAGCTAAGATAGTCTTGTTTTTAATTATTTATTTAATTTCTCATCTTTTCCATTTGCTAAAATCACTCTCATGTCATTTTGTTGGTGTAGCGAATGGTGTGCAAGCATTGTAAGGAACGCTGATGGAAGGAGAGAAATAATGTGAGAGAATTCACGTAAGTTGGCGCCGTTCATTTCACTAGACTTAATCTGGTATTAATTTTT